TCCTAAAATAAGATATATAGTCCCCACATCCTTATGGGAGTTGGCCATAAGTCAACGACCCCAACGCTTCACTTTATCCAAACTAAACTCAAATTTATTTTATTTTAACTACAACCTTTATAGGTTTAAACCTAAAGCTAAATGTCCTTTCGTACCCTAAAGCCTAAACTCAATAGAAAGAAGATAGAAACCGACCTAACTTTCGCCGATCTGAACTCAGCTCACGTCGGGTTTTCATGGGCGAACGAACCAACCCTTAAGACCGCCTGCAAGCCTTAGGATACCCAGAGCCAACATCGAGGTCGCAAACCCGCCCATCTATAAGAACTATCAGGGCGGATAACGCTGTTATCCCCGGAGTAACTTCTTCTGCTAGTCACAAATTTATACCTCTGTGGATCGTAGCGCATCCGCACTTTAAATAATAGGAGTCTAGTCTTGCTCCTTTGCTGCCCCAGCCAAAACTGCCGCTGCACCCCTCTACTTGAACTAACATGAAGCCTTAAATCAACCTGTTACTCTAGGAAACAGTAAAACTTAGAGGAATAACTCTTACAACTTAAATTTCTAACTTCACGGGGTCTTCTCGTCTTTCTTACCTACGGAAGCATTTGCACATCCAATTCAATTTCACCAAAACAAACTAGAGACAGTTAAAGACTCGTCAAACCATTCACAGGACCTACAATTAATAGGCCATAATTTAGCTACCTTAGCACGATTTACCGCGTCCGTTTAAGCCCGAAAACTCACCGGGAAGGCACGACCCCCCATGTTACTCAGAAAGCCATGTTTTTGTTAAACAGGCGGTCCCTTTTTTTGCCGAGTTCCTTTAGCTTTGTTTACCAATATAGTTGCTACTCCACATTGCTTTACTACCTGAATTAAAAACAACTACACCACTCCGACTACTCATCCCTACATTATCACTTTTACTACACTCGTCCAGTAAAAAGACCCCATAAACCAAAAAGGAATTTAAACTTCTATTTAAATCTAGGGAAACTCTGAGATTTAACCCACTCCAAAAAGATAGCTTCTTCAAGCCCACTTAAACCCCCACTCTTCAACAACTTCCTTTTACACTAGGTCTCTCAGCTTATCCTGAAAAACCTCACTTCTTTTAAAAACACTTCACTTCAAACCCACCAAACTAATATTTATTATTTAGCTTCCTAGAAAACCCTTACCCTTAGAGTGTGTCCTCCATAGAGCTACACTTATATGTATTTCTGGGGCAACCAGCTATCAACCCGCGCGAAAAGTATTTCGCCACTATCTTCCCGTCTCGGGATAGCTATCTTACGCTAACCCCTAGCGAGAAAGTAGATCGCAGAATTTTCGGGCTATTCCCTAAGAATAAAAAGTAATAGAGCCATGATGCAAAAGGTACATGATCCCATCACTGGTACCTACCTGTTAATCTGTTCATTCACTTACGTTACACTTTTCCTATCGCTCAAACCTCGTCTATTTCAGTCACCCCTACTAAGACAATTAAAGATGATTCACCCAACACTACAACTAATCTATCACCTATACAGCAAAAGTTATCCCAACCTAAAATATCCCCTCTAAACCAAAATAATAAACAAAGCAAAAGCACCTATTAAAACAGGTAAAACCCGCCGCCATACAAATCCCATTAATATATCGTATCGGTACCGGGGAAATCTACTTCGACATAAAACAATTAATAAAACTACTAAAAAACTCATAAAAGATCTCATCAAGCCTCCCCCCAAAAACCCTAACCCACCCATTCCCCCTAAAATGTTACCTCCCCCTAAAAATAAAACCCCCGTCAGGCTACTTAAAAAAATAACACTTGCGTACTCAGCAATAAAAATTATCGCAAACCCCCCCCTTCCGTACTCCACATTAAACCCCGAAACCAGCTCCGATTCTCCCTCTACAAAATCAAAAGGAGCCCGATTCCTTTCCGCTAAAACACAAAAGACCCATCAAGGAAAAGCTAAAAACAAAATTCCCCCGTTAGACCCTCGAGCCTGGAACCTATCAACATCTACAAAATCAAGTCTCCCGCATATAAAAAAAGGGCCTAAATACAAAAAAACTAGCATCACTTCATAAGAAATCACTTGAGCTAGAGCCCGCACAGCTCCAAACATCGCATATTTTGAATTAGACGACCAACCACACAAGACCACCCCATACACCCCTACCCTCAACACACTTAAAACATATAAACCCCCCCAAAAAAAATAAACTCCGCACTCTCAAATACCAGAACTACACCTCCATAAAACAAAAGAATGAAATAATATAAAACACGGACCAAGAAAAAACAAAATTGGGTTAGAAACACGCGGTGTAAAATACTCTTTGCTAAAAAGCTTAATCCCATCAGCAAAAGGCTGGAGAATTCCAAACCACCCAACCATCTCGGGGCCCTTACGCCCTTGAGAAGCAGCTAAAATCTTACGCTCAAACAAAGTTAAATAAGCTACTCTTAATAACACCAAAGCATAAAAACTAACTGACCAAAAAACTACTACCACTCAACCAAGCGGCCAATCTTAGACCTCCTAGCGGATGTAAGCCGCTCGCACTACCTATACTAGCCTGGCCTAATCCAATCAACCCCTCGGGGGCCCCTCAAGCCAACTTAGCCGCTTCAAAACTTCGTTTTCTTTAAACTACCCAAGGAAACTACACCCTCAGAGACATAGTTTAACTTTAACTACTTCCCCGTTAACAGCGGGGCGCCCTTCTTAGACTAATATCCCACTCTTTGCTTCTTTAGTTCCTATACGCTCTATAACCCCACAAAATCTCTACCCAAGCCTACCATATTTAAAATATCCAAAACTAGGGTTGAGAGGGCTATTTTATACCTCACCTCTAGATTAAAAGTCCAGCGCCCTAACTTAAGCTACCAACCCAGCAAACTTAACAATTATTGCCCAAACCCCCCCCCACCACTATCCTTAACAAGCCCTCTACTAACACACAGCTCTAATTCCCTTCATACGACACTAATTTTGAAATTAATTTACCCACAACCTTCAAAATTTTTATATAAACAAAGTAAACCCCTTATTCCTCCACTATTAAATTCCTGGGAACTAATTACCTACCCCCAACGCCCCACTTTACCACCCTTCTTTTTAAATCCTATTTATTTTAACTTCAACTTAAGTAGGTTTAAACCTAAAACTAAATGTCCTTTCGTACCCTAAAGCCTGAACTCAATAGAAAGAAGATAGAAACCGACCTAACTTTCGCCGATCTGAACTCAGCTCACGTCGGGTTTTCATGGGCGAACGAACCAACCCTTAAGACCGCCTGCAAGCCTTAGGATACCCAGAGCCAACATCGAGGTCGCAAACCCGCCCATCTATAAGAACTATCAGGGCGGATAACGCTGTTATCCCCGGAGTAACTTCTTCTGCTAGTCACAAATTTATACCTCTGTGGATCGTAGCGCATCCGCACTTTAAATAATAGGAGTCTAGTCTTGCTCCTTTGCTGCCCCAGCCAAAACTGCCGCTGCACCCCTCTACTTGAACTAACATGAAGCCTTAAATCAACCTGTTACTCTAGGAAACAGTAAAACTTAGAGGAATAACTCTTACAACTTAAATTTCTAACTTCACGGGGTCTTCTCGTCTTTCTTACCTACGGAAGCATTTGCACATCCAATTCAATTTCACCAAAACAAACTAGAGACAGTTAAAGACTCGTCAAACCATTCACAGGACCTACAATTAATAGGCCATAATTTAGCTACCTTAGCACGATTTACCGCGTCCGTTTAAGCCCGAAAACTCACCGGGAAGGCACGACCCCCCATGTTACTCAGAAAGCCATGTTTTTGTTAAACAGGCGGTCCCTTTTTTTGCCGAGTTCCTTTAGCTTTGTTTACCAATATAGTTGCTACTCCACATTGCTTTACTACCTGAATTAAAAACAACTACACCACTCCGACTACTCATCCCTACATTATCACTTTTACTACACTCGTCCAGTAAAAAGACCCCATAAACCAAAAAGGAATTTAAACTTCTATTTAAATCTAGGGAAACTCTGAGATTTAACCCACTCCAAAAAGATAGCTTCTTCAAGCCCACTTAAACCCCCACTCTTCAACAACTTCCTTTTACACTAGGTCTCTCAGCTTATCCTGAAAAACCTCACTTCTTTTAAAAACACTTCACTTCAAACCCACCAAACTAATATTTCTTATTTAGCTTCCTAGAAAACCCTTACCCTTAGAGTGTGTCCTCCATAGAGCTACACTTATATGTATTTCTAGGGCAACCAGCTATCAACCCGCGCGAAAAGTATTTCGCCACTATCTTCCCGTCTCGGGATAGCTATCTTACGCTAACCCCTAGCGAGAAAGTAGATCGCAGAATTTTCGGGCTATTCCCTAAGAATAAAAAGTAATAGAGCCATGATGCAAAAGGTACATGATCCCATCACTGGTACCTACCTGTTAATCTGTTCATTCACTTACGTTACACTTTTCCTATCGCTCAAACCTCGTCTATTTCAGTCACCCCTACTAAGACAATTAAAGATGATTCACCCAACACTTCAACTAATCTATCACCTATGCAGCAAAAGTTATCCCAATCTAAACCTCTACCCATAACCCAACACTTTAAAACCTTAATCAGGGCGCACCTTCCAGTACCCCTACCTTGTTACGACTTATCTCACCTCTCGGCGAGAGCGACGGGCAGTTTGTACACAAGCCAGATTCATGTTCAGGGAGACATATTAATTCCCCCTTACTCCTAAGTTCACCTTCACCCTAATATTTCAAAATAAAGATCCGTATTTTTAAATCTAAATTGTAACACCTACTCCCTTAGGCCGTGGGCGGTATTACGACCTGAATTCACGGACACCAACGATACAATCGCTACGGCTCCATTGAGCCTGTTACTCCTTGCTCGAACAACAAGCTGACAACGGCAATACACCAGCTGCACTTTTTCAAGGCCTAGTAAGATGCGACGGGGATCATCGGATTAAGGCACATATTCCCCTAGGTAGTTAACAAGCCGCCAAGTTCTTTGAGTTTTAAGCACACGCTCGTAGTCCCCAAGCAGCTGCCTGAAAAGCAAAGTTTGCGTCGGTAATAAATGGGTCTCAAATCCATGTCTTCGGCTTCCCGGTTCCGTGGCCTCAGCCCAAAGGAAACATTTCCCCCTTCCTCCGAGGGAGACCCGGATTACACCCCTTCCCCTCGGGGTAGGCTCCCTAATTTTTAATAATAACTCTCCACAATAGAGCAGGCCGTCTAACCACCTTTTGCACTTTACCACTTAACTTGAGTTACTCAGGTCTAACCGCGACTGCTGGCACCTGGTTGGACTCCTCTAATCAACAATAGCTTAATCAAGCTGGCGCTCATGGTTAAAATCTATCCACTGGAGGTATGAAATAAATTATTAACAGTCCTCGAATTCCTCTGATTGTTCAAACGTAAACTTCTCCAAAAAAAAGCAACAAACACTAATTAATGAAAAAGAACCGGTATACGCATTCACTGCATAAACTACCATGTGTTAATTGACCAAATTAATAGCTAAGCAAAGGTAACCAGAACCAAACTACCAACCCTCCCCTACCTCACCCAAATCGCCTCCTCCAATTAAGAAGACCTCACACTTGGAAGGAGCGCGTGCTTTTTACACTAGAGACGACTCCCCCCCAAACCCCTAATCACCGCCTTGCAGGAATAAACCAACCCCTTCGACTTACAAGACCGACGTTCTACATAAACTAAAAGCGGGCCCTACCATGTAGCAGGAGAGAATTATATTCCCGTAAATAGGTTTACAGCCCACCACCTAAACTCGGCCACCCTGCTCTGAAACCCAAGTGCATGGAGAACTCCACCCCCCCGCAAAGAAAGGTTCAAACCTTCTAGCCCGATAGGCTGCACCTCCCCAACCCAAGCCCTGAGGAGTTTCCCCCTTCCTGTGAGACTGCAGCTCATTATTGTATTTCAACTACAGGGCTAATTCATCCTCACACCCAAACCCTAACACCACTCCAACCCCTGCCCCCAACCCGATGTCACCCCTTACACCCACAACAAAAACCACAATAACTATAAATTAAGCCTTACCTCCTTTGACCTTAACTCTCTTCCAACTTAAACACACTAGCCTTCTCCCCTCCACATTCCTTCAACGCCCCCGCAAGACCGCCAACTTGACAATCGGGGGGTTAGTTAAAACCACTAACCGCTCGAAAAACGGCCGCACTACTTATACTACCCCGACCCAAAGTAGGGGGGGGATCTATCTACCCTCCGCCGCGGGGGCATGAACCCAGCATACTCATTATAATACCCTACCAATTTCAAACGGGTGAGACCTCAGCAGGGCCCCCTCTTCCGATCCTAAATCGGACACATGATCTGCCAACCCGCCCCTTTTCATCCTTTAAATAAATCCAAAGTGCTAAAGGGATTATAACCCTTGAAACCTACCACATCAAAGTAGCCCGCTAACACCCGGCTTAGCACCCCCATTCCAACCATATTACACTGCAGGGAAAAGCAGCTAAACTTCCTCCTCGGAGACCAAAACTCCAAATGCGCTAATACACCACCCTACACCCCTTAAACCCTACCATTTGAATAAAGAAGACCTCTTCAACTTTCTTACCTTACCCACAACTGTGTTTGGTACATTAATCCACCATAATAACCGAAAATATCTAAAACCAACAATAAAAATTAAAGCAAACCATAAAAGCCAATTACTCGGTTCAAACTGAGGCACCTAAGCCAAAGGACTAACTTAGCCACCAGCTACCCATAGAGCAGCCGCACTATTTATGCTACTCTGACCGCCCTACCCTTTCTTAGCAAATCCCCCAACTCGAGGCAACCACCATCGCCGCATGTATAGAGAACAAGCAACCTTATAAGAATCACCCCAAGACCAAGCAATAATACCAACAAAAACTAAAGTCTGCACTAACATAATGATCCACTCCAACACACCAATCCAAAACCCAGCTGCTCCAACAAAAATAATCCCTAAGAACCTATTGTTCCAAATGAAAAATATTAACACCTCCCCTATTAAAGACATAATAATGTGCCCACAAGAAACATTAATTATTAACCGAACACCTAACACAACCGGACGAACAACTCACCTTAACAACTCTACGAATACTACAAATAAATTTAACCCAAGAGGAGCCCCTATCACCCAAACCCTCCGCGAAAACTTTTTCAAACCCCAAACCCTCCACATTCTCCCTACCCTCCAAAACAACAACCCATACCTTATCACAAACACCGGAAGACACCTAACCCTCTTTACAAAAGGAATCATCCCTAAAAGATTAACCCTTAAAATTACTACAAAAACAAATGTTAAAATATGGGCCCTCCCACACTTCTGACCTCACTCATGAATACAGAAAAACTTAGAAATTCTTAAAACAAGCCAGATTATAAGCACTTCTAATCCCCCTGGACTTATATAAAAAGGCCTACTCATTATAAACAACACTGCAAAAGGAAGTAAAAAAGAAATGAGCCTACTCAAACTCATCCTCCAATCAAATTGGCCAAAATACCTTCTTAAACCCACATACGACACCTAAGGTGAGGGGAGGTCTGACTCCTCCCTCAAGAAGGGCCGAAACCTACTTGCCATCAAGGTCCCACCCCACCTCCTAATACTACAAAGATATATAGCCTTCTTCCACCTAACCTAATCAAAAACCCCCAACCCCTCACACATAAATCCAACAACCCCACTCACTAGATCTCTCAAAGCCCTCCGCCCAGTATCTTTTGTAGGATAACAAAAATACTCCATCCATAAAAAAATACAACGCACCCTCAGCCCCTACCCCCTTTAACTTAACTTAACCCCTTCTACCACTTTTCCCACGACCATTCCTTCCAATCCCCCCTACTGCCCTTCTTATAATACCCCCCAAAAACTCTTCCCATCAATCCCCTCCTATCACACCAAAGTTCCTCATACCCCATTTCCCTCTCTAAAAATACCCCTAATATCCGTAATCCAGATTTTGAAAAAACTAGCCCAAACGCAAAGGGTACTCCCTTTGCGTTTGCTTTTTTGAACCCCCTAAAACTTACTTTCTTATTTATCTTGCTAATTTTACTACCTTATAGATTTTAGCCCCCCCCATTTTTCAAAAAAAAGACAAAAAAAAAGTATGAGGAACCCCCTTTTTTGAGGGGCCTGGGGGCACCCTCTAGGGAGGCCTCTAGAAGGATTTTTTTTTTCGCCCAATATTCTAACACCCAAGCTTAAGTCTCAACCTTATACTTTAAATACCAGCCCAATCTCTTTTATTAACCTAGGAAGCAACCTGCTCTTCGATTATTAGCGTGAACTAAACCCTACAACAAGACTAGACCATTAGAAACCCAGCCTTTCAATCCAACTCTAACAATAGAACAATATGATAATGAATTATTCATACATTCTCTTAATATTCTTAACTTAAAAACCCCTTAAAAGCACCAACTGCCGAAGTCAAGACAATCGACTATAGCTACTTGCTTCCACGCCTTAAAAGCTGTTTCCCCAAATCATGCCCAGCTTGCTCCTTCTTCATTTCTAAAACAAGCTCCTCAAACTTTTTAGATCTTATCGTAGACCCTATTACCTTCTCCATTACATCAACATGAACAAATCCTATAGATTTTAGCCTCTTTTGAACCGAGGGTAGGCGTAATAGAGGGGTTACATCCCCCTTAATTACATTAACTATATCTTTATGCCTCAATCTGTGATTTAAACACTCCCCCTCAACCGCAATGTTAATTAACTCAACAAACGCTTTCAACCGAGCACCTAAGTCACAACCCCCTTCTCTTCAATCACGCCACTCCCTATAATCCTCTGACCTAACTACTTCAATTATAGTAGGCATCATAGCATGATATGCGCCGCATAATTCAACACAGAACCCGGAAAATACCCCGCAAATGTTAAAATCTAAACTTCCTCGACTTAATCGACCCGGAATAGCATCAATCTTCATTAAAAGAAGGGGAGACCCCCAGCTGTGAAGAACATCATCCCTTGTAACAAATACCCGAATAGGCTTTCCCTGCGGAACTACCAATGGGCGATCAACCTCGGAGTAGTCTCGGAAATTAAGAGGTCTCCCTGCCCTACGCCTCACTATTCGCGAATCCCACTTAATAACCTCAGCCTTTCTGCTTATTAATTCATACCTTCAGTACCACTGATGGCCCACCACAATTACATCAATAAAGGGATCAAGATTTGTCTCATCATTGACATACAAAGCAAAAACGGAAACAGTGCATAAGCAAACTAAAAAAATAAAAGGCACCAAAGACCAAAAAACCTCCAGCCGTCCACAGTCCAGATAAACCCTACATGTGATCTTATTGAAAGAAGCTATCCGCAGAAAAAAAATAACAGAAAACCTTACAAAGAAAGCAATGATTAGGCACCTCTCATATACCATCTCTAAATTGTAACCCTGCAAAGTAACTGGCTCTGGCAATCTCATCTGTCCTCGCTCCAATCTACAACCTTCGCTAGAAAGCCGGCCCCACTCATTGAACTTCCTACCCCAACCTAAGATCTGACCCCAATCTAACATCTGACGGACCCGCCAGGCATTAACCTATTTATCAAGTTTTCTAGATATCTGGACCAACTAAGAAAGACCGACCCATAAGCATACCTCTAAAATATATACTACAAAGAAACAAGCAAACCAGTGACTGCACATAAACATGTTACAGTCTAGCGCTTTCTTAAAACATCGGGATAAACCCCCCGGCCCAAAAAATTCAAACCAACCCTGGTCAAGTCCAGAACTTACTTCTTCTGACAACATAAATCCGGCATAGACAAGAGGCTGACCCCTTAATCCATCTAAGAAACCCAACTCACGAATGAAACTTCCCCGGAAGCTTCCCCACCAGTCTAATCTTTCCTCCAAAATGGGCCGCTTAAAATAATCATTTTTATAACGCACGCTAAAATTTTTTTCCTCCCAACTCTCGTTGAAATAAAGCCCAGTCAACACCTCCCTAGCCCAAAACCATCACATAACAAACCAAGGGCACCTTAGCAGAATAACCTTCCTCTCTCAGCAAGGATAGCAAGGAACTCCTGAATTAAAAAACCACCCCCCCACCCCCCCCAAAAAAACTACAAAACAAAAAAGATTGAAACAAAAATAATGAGCCGATGGCAAGCTCAAACCTCCCCTATAGCGGTATGATCTTACTCCCCCAACTTTATCTCTCCGAAGCCCGCTGAAGAAACAAAAATATCCCAACCGAGCCCTGTAATATCCGGTTGAAAAAACTCCCACTAAAAAAAAAGCCACCCCCAATCACCCAAGCGGCCTGTGCAATATTGACTCAATAATTACCTCCTTGGAATAAAATCCCCTTAAGAATGGGATCCCACACAATCCCACACACCTTCCCAAAAAATACCACTTTAAACCCCCTTCTTCCGAGAAACACCCTCCCAACCGACGTAAATCCTGCCTGTACCCTATAATAACTAAACCCACACACACAAACAAAAGAGCTTTAGTTACAGCATGGGTTAACAGATGAAAAAATGCTAGCAAAGGGTACCCAACTCTAACAGAGAATATTATAAAAGAAACCTGAGAAAGAGTCGACAAAGCAACAACTTTTTTAGCGTCACACTCCACACAAGCATTTAAACCCCTCAAAACCATTGTAATTAACGAGCATCATTGTAATAAAACTAAAGCTCCGTCCTCTAACCCCCCACAATACCGAACAACTAAAAACACTCCAGCTGTGACTAAAGTAGAAGAATGGACTAAAGAAGAGACAGGAGTGGGAGCTGCTATAGCCCGAGGCAATCAGCTACAAAAGGGAAACTGGGCTCTTTTAGTCCTGGCCCCCACCACTAAAAAAACTCTAACTACAATACCAAACTCCTGCGCCCCGTAACCCCCGCTTCCAAACCCCAGACCCCATAACAGCAATGCTAACACCAGAAAACAATCCCCTAAACGATTTCTTAAGCCCGTAATTATCCCAGACCCTAAGGACCTATGACATGGATAGAAAAGAACTAGTAAAAAAGAAAAAACCCCTAACCCGTCCCACCCAATTATAAGCCTGAACAACCCCGGAGAGAAAATAAAAATAACTATAGAAAAAACAAAACACATTAACAAAGCATGGAACCGCGAAGGATGAAAAGCCCTTGCTATGTAATGCCCACTGAACTTGAAAATATTACTAGCAATAAAAAAAACAACACTACAGAATAACAATCCAACTCCATCCACAAAAATCTCAACCCTAAGATCTAAGGAAGAGTGACGGAATACCTCAAAACCCAAAACAAAGAAATCCCCCAATAAACCCAAAGCCCCTAAAAAACAAAAGGCAGATGCAACTAAGCAAAAAGCCTCCGAATAGAATCCAACCATCAACCTAACCAACCACCTTGCGGGGAGCCCCTAAGAGGACCTCTAGGACCCAAGTCTAGCGTGCAAATATTACACCTCACCCCGACAATCAAGCCATCCAACAACTAAGCCTAACCCTTATATAGCTAAAACATCCAAGAGCGAAGAATGCTTCCCCATCCCAGGTTTTGGAAACCCGAAGTTTATTTTTAACCTAGCTCTCGACCACCCGTGGTAGGTCCCCGAATAAGGATCAAGGGGCTTTGTTGAGCCCTTTACTACCTTGTGTAAATGGCCTCCCAACCCCTTTCAATTATAAGGCTCTACCTTTAGTAAATCAACCATCTCCCCCGCCCTCATTAGCTTGGGATCCGGCCAATGGTCTTCATCATTTACCCCTAAATCTGGATACTGCTTTACTATTTCTTCCCAGTACTCGTCAAATTCATCTCATTCATGGTCATACGAGCAAATATAATCCTCGTACCGCTGCACCAGGCCGACAAGGGGAAAAAATCCAAAATAGAAAATAGTACCCCACCTACCCGCCCTAACAAAAGGATCGTCTACACCCTGCCTCCCCACATATGTTAATACACAAAAATTAGCAACCCAAGCCCAAAACAAAAACTGGCACACAGGATAGAAGCAAAATGACTCCATCTTACCACACCAAATCTCAGGCAACACAAATAAAATAAAAATAGATGCAAGCAATAATAAAATCCCACCAACTTTATTAGGCACTGATCGGAGAATTGCATAAGCAAATAAAAAATACCACTCAGGATGAATTCTAGCCGGAGTTTCCATATAATCACAGGGAACAAACCTCCCCCCATCTAGAAGCCTGTATGGATAAAACCCAACTATGAATGCCACTACAGTACACCTCAAACAAACCCCTACCAAGTCCTTCACCGTAAAAAATCTATGGAATCGAACTAGGGAACAATCTCTGTCCAACCCCAAAGGGTTACCCGACCCAGTTGAATGAAGGAAAATTAGATGTAAGAAAAAAATCCCTATAATAACAAAAGGCATTAAAAAATGAAGCCTAAACAAGCGCTTAAGGGTTACATTTCCTACTGCATACCCCCCCCAAACTCACATTGCGATGTCTCCCCCAACTAGAGGGATTGCAGTTACCATTCTCCTAATAACCTGGGCAGCCCAATAAGCCATTTGTCTCCAAGGAAGAACATAGCCAGTAAAAGCTGTTAATATTACTAACAACAATAATACAATACCCCTACACCAAACCTTATATAAACGATGAGACCCATAATACAGCCCCCGGCCAATATGGAGGTACAAACAAACAAACATAAAATTTGCTACATTAATATGGAACCTTCGAACTGCCCATCCTATATGAGCTTCTTTTATAATAAAACACACGCTTCTAAAAGCTAAATCTTCATGAGCAGTATAGTAAAATGACAGAAGCCAACCAGTCAAAATCTGCCCAAAAAGACAAACCCCCAAAAGTGACCCAAATCCCCACCAAACCCTTAAATTAGAAGGGCACGGAAGGTCATAAATTACCCCCTTTACAGCCGAATAAATCGGCCCAGAACTTGTTGTAGAATAAGGCAACAAAATGGGGGGGGCCTTATAACCCATCTTTCGAGCTTAAAACGAACACATTATTCTGCCACCCCCATCTTACTTTATAGTACTTCGGATACCGCGAAGAGCTCCCCTTTTATTGTACCAACAAAGCTTAGTTACCGATACTATGCAGATAGCCAACAAAACAGCCAAAAATAGAAAAGTTACACTTCCTACCCAACTACTATCCCTCAACTCAGGTCCAAAACACCCCCTCACATCCACATAGCCCCCGCAAAAAACATCTTTATAACACCATCATCCATCATAATAAAAAATTAAACAAGAGACCCTGATAATAAACATAATCACACTCATGGGACGAACAGTTTTCTGAGCAATGCTCTTGAACAAGGGGTTCGGAGCTAAAGCAACCGCATAGAGAAACACAACCATTAAACCCCCCAAAAATGATAAAAAAATAAAATGCCTTAACCACACAGCTCCCCTGTAACCAAATACTAGACAACCAAGTAGCACTGAAAAAAAAGAAAAACACCCTACAGCCTGAGGCCCAACTAAAGAACCGCATCCAACCAAAAAGAATATCACTAAAATCCACAAAAAATACCAAACCTTCACTTTTACAAGGAATAGCTACGCTTTACTCTAGAACTAAATCCATGTGCACTAACACCGCCTCGCATTTCAACCACCTGCTCCTGGAGAGCTACCCCCATCCCCTGAATGCAAATCAGGAATGTTTTTTACACTAAGGAGCATGCCCCCAAGCCTTTTAGTCCCGGGACCACTCTAGAGCGCCTCGATATAATTCGTATAGTAACCCAACAACCAAAACCAATAAAAAACACCACCTATAAAACTCAACTGTAGCTACCCCCACCCTTTTAGCATGAAGAACCGGAAAAAACATTAAAGACTCTACCTCAAACACCAAAAATAAAATAGCAACCATGTAAAAACGAACAGAAAACGGGCACCGCGCCGAACCAAAAGGATCAAATCCACACTCATATGGGGAAGCTTTTTCTGAATCCCGAACCCATAGTTGAGTAAGCCAATACCTTTGTGTTGCCATAACTGCAACTAACAAAAAACCCACCAATAAAACTATCCACAAAATATCCACATGCCCCCACTTAATCATTAGAAAAAGATGTGCATGGAAAATAAATAAGGAAGTCTCAGTAACAAAAAAGGGGCTCCCAAACGATCCCTTTTGTCTCGCTTCACTCTTCTACCTCCCCTAATAATACAAAACCTTATTACAAATAAATAATAACCTCAACCAATAACAGACCCCAGTGCCAAGGGAATTATAAGCGGAGGAAAAGTCCTCGCTACGCAAAAAAGAACAGCCAATTTACTAAAAAATCCCAAAAACGGTGGGAATCCCCCTAAAGACAGCAAGAAAATACAAATCCCGCCACTAAAAGAAGACCGTCGAACACTCCCACCCCTTACAGAACATAAATACCCGTCACCTCTTATTAATGACAACAGCCCCCCTAAAGAAACCCAATAAGCAAATAGATAATACACCAACAAGCCTAGCCCCCCTAAACAAGACGCTAGCCTCCACCCAGTATGAGCTACAGAAGAATAACCTACAAACCGAGAGAGCCGAGTGGCACCCACCCCACAAACAGCCCCCACTAGCACTCTTACACCCCTACAAGCATAAATAACCCAACCATCATGAAAACCATGACAAATAGAGAACAAAGGAACCACCTTCTGCACCGTCAACAAAAACCACATCCTCTCCAATCAAATATTATCTAATACTTCTACAACCCAAAAATGAAAAGGAGCTGCCCCAACCTTTACCATCAAACCTAAGTTAAAGCCCGACACTAATGGCCCTAACCTTGATCACCTACCAACAGCAATTCTTATAATCATAATTCTGGACCCAAAAGATTGAACAAAAAAATACTTAAACCTAGAATCAATTGTACGCTTTTTATTATTTACTAACAGAGTTAAAGCCCCAAACAAGTTTATTTCCATCCCCACCCAAACCCCAAACCAACTGGGACTAAGAATAGAAAATAAAATTCTCCCCACCACTAAACTAGACGAAAAGCCCAAATTGCGCAACCTCACTACTACCCCATCAAATACCCCAGAGCCCAATTAACCTTATTAAAAGCATCGTCAAAGGTCCACTGCCATCCTAGATTTCTCCACAAATAAGCTGCCCTGTAAACAAAGATCCAAATTACATCAACAAAATGCCAGTACCAGACAGCAAAAGTCAGGTTTAAATGGCGGGCGCTAGAAAAATGACCCAAACGAGCCCGGTTCCAAGCCACAAATAAAAAAACTAATCCCCCAATTACATGCAACCCATGTAACCCTGTCAAAGAGAAAAAACAACTCCCATAAATCCCATCAGCAATAGTAAACTTAGCTGAGTAAATTTCATAACCCTGACAAACAACAAAACATCCCCCCAGAATCATTACAATCCCCAAAGTAATTAAAGCAGTTTTAAGCTCCGCAGCCTTTAAAGCTGCCTGGGCTAAGTTGCACGGACACACAGTTCTAAGAAGAAGACTAGTATTAAGTAATGGCAAGCCCCAACAAGACATTGTATAAATTTGAGGGGGTCAAAAAAACCCCAGGGCCATCCCCGGGGCCAATGCGCTATGAAAGAACGCCCAAAAAAAAGAAGCAAAAAACATGGTCTCTCTAACCAAGAATATACAAAATCCAATTCGAACCCCCCGCTGCACGCGACGAGTGTGCTTTCCTAAAAACGTCGCTTCTGTAACAATATCTACAAACCACCAATATACAGACCTAACCAACAAACACAGACCCACTAGCACACGCCAAATAGGATCTCCATGAAGAAATTGAGCAAACATTATTGCTGTAAACCCTAACCTTCAAGCAGTTAACAGCGGCCAAGGACTCGGGTCTACCCGATGAAAAGGACAACGCTTCACTTGATTAGCATCCCTGCCCATCTAACCCCTTAAATAAATCATTACCATAACTGCGGGCATAGATTACAAGCAAAGATAACCCTAACGCAGACTCACACACCCCCAATCCCACCACAAAAAAAAAAAAATACCCCGGATTTAACTCCAAACTCCTGCAAAACCCCCCTAAGACCCCTACCAAAACCACCTCTATACACAGAAGCGCAGACAGAATATGGGTCCGCTGACATCCAAAAGCCAACCACCCACCAATAAAGAACGTACATGAAAAAACTCCCGTAACCCCCACCCCACCTAAAACACCTACGCTATCATAATTACCCATATACGCCATCTATGGAAGAACGCTACTTTAAACGCAACTGACGAGTGACAACCGCCCGTGATATTTTCACCATCTCCCAACTTCTAGCTTTAGTTTCTTAGAAACTCACCTAGCTGGACCCCCGGAGTCTCAAACCCGCCTAAAGAACCACAACCTTTTGTGCTCACTACACCACAGAAGCCTACTCCTACAAAAACCCAGGGAAGAAAAAAAGAAGGAATAATGGGGTAGCGTGAAAAACTCCTAAATATCTAAATTTACCCACCCCACGAAAAGATGGTAAAAGCGAAGATCCTGAACTCCCATGCCTTACCCTCGTGTATAAAACCATCATTCTAGCACCCCTAAAAAAGAATAAAAGAAGAAAACAAGGGATAAAACCTAAAGGAAACGACCCACAAACCCCCATCCCCATAACCACCTCCCCTAAAAATCCTAATCTAGGAGGACACCTCATCGAACAAAACACTACCATACACCACCAAATCCCAGATCTCGGAAATAACATCTCAAACCCCGAACAAACTATTAAACTTCGACTCTTAACCTTATCATAGTACTCCCCAATAATTCCAAAAAGACCTGAGGATCTTAACCCATGAGCCACTATTATAAACAGAGCACCTAACCAACCAACTCTTCTTCCACTTAAAATCCTAAGCTGAACCAAGCACATGTGCCCTACCGAAGAATAGGCAATGAGGGCCTTCCTATCAACTTGGCGAAGACAAGCTACAGACCTCAACACACCCCCCCAAATTCCTACATTAGCCCAAAAGACCTGCACCGAATAAGACAACTGACCAAACCTTAAAAATACACGCATTAACCCAATTCCCCCTAACTTTAGCAATAAACCCGCCAAAGCTATAGACCCTGTTGTCGGGGCCTCTACATGGGCCTTAGTTAACCAAAGATGAAATGGATAACAAGGAATTTTAACAAAAAAAACGACCACAGCACAACACCCCCACCAACCCAAACCCCCCAGTAAATCCGCGTTAAAACCCATGAAAAAAGAAGACTCCCCCCAAAAAACAAACACAAGAAAAACAAGAAACGGAATTGAACCCCCTAAAGTATAAAGAAATATATAAAATGTTGCAGTGATTCGCTCCGGCTGTATACCTCACTTAAGAATTATAATGGCCATGGGAACTAAAGTTAACTCAAAAAATACATAAAATCAAAGAAAATTCCAACAAGAAAAAGCTAAAAAGCAACAAAAAACTACCCCTCATACACTCAACCCCCTTAACTCGGGCTTAGAAATTATTAATATCAAAGCCCCCAACCAAAAACACAAAAAAACTAAAGACCTAGACCAATCATCTAAGATAAAAAAATCCCCCATCACATAACCTTCCAAAGAACCCCGGTACAAAATAATTGGCCTTCTTAAAAAGCATAAGGTAAAAAACTGCCAACAACCCACCTCCCCAAACCTAGGAAGCAACCCCAATAAAACTGCCAACATCTTATCAGCGGAAGGAAGGTCGCTACCCTCCCTAGCTACAGATTAGAAGTCAAAGCTAAGGCAACTCTCCGCCTATTCTACCCCCACTAAAGGTGTCATCAGAATTTTATACCTTCAAAACCATCTCAATCCCTTACTTAACACCTCTACGCCTAGGCCCTTTAATAGCAGTATAACTAATATTCCCCAACTCTACCTTCTCAAGAATATCCTTGTGCCGCATAGTCACCTCATGCATTAACCGAACAGCAATTACCTCAACAAAAGTATGCCGAGCAATACAAGAGAAATTACGCAAAGCCACCCACTCAAGAGAACTTGGACGATTCCCTACTATTGAAGGACGACGGCCCCTCAAAAAAGCTTCCCACTGAATATGGGTGAACAAAGACACCCTACACATAACCATCCCACAACCAGCTGTTCTCCACTGATTCCAGTAATAATAAAAAATAGGATAATCTGGAATTCGTCGAGGCATTCCCCCTAACCCTAAAAAGTGCTGCGGGAAAAAAGTAAGATTAACTCCAACAAAAGTTAGAAAAAAATGGCCACGAGCCCATCTCCGATGAAAACAATTCCCTGTAAAGAAGGGGAAGTAATGAACATACCCCCCGAAAATAGTAAACACAGCCCCCATCGACAACACATAGTGGAAATGAGCAACAACATAGTAAGTATCATGCAAAGCCACATCTAATGATGCATTAGACAAAATCACACCTGTAATACCCCCTATAGTAAACTTCAGTAAAAATCCAATAACCCACAAAGTAGGGGCCTCAAAACTCAGATAAGACCCATAAATTGTAGCAATCCAACTAAAAACTTTAACCCCTGTAGGTACAGCAATTAGCATAGTTACCGCAGTAAAATAAAACCGAGTATCAACATCAAGCCCGACAGTGTACATGTGGTGCCCCCAAACAATAAAACCTAGAATCCCGATAGAAATTATCGCATACATCATAGCAACTGAACCAAAAACCCGTAATTTTTTAGTATAAAACACCAAAACATGGGAAACTAACCCAAAGCCAGGTAAAATTAACACATATACTTCTGGATGCCCAAAGAACCAAAATAAATGCTGGAATAAAACCGGATCCCCCCCACCTGAAGGATCAAAGAATCTACAGTTGAAATGACGGTCCATAATCAACATAGTTAATCCACCCGCTAAAACTGGCAAAGACACCAAAAGCAAAAACCTAGTAACAGACAAGGCCCATACAAAAGGTGGACAAAACTCGGCCTTATATGCCTTTCCTCGCACATTTAAAAACGTTACTAAATAATTAATAGAGGCAGCAGAAGATCTAACCCCCGCCAAATGCAATGCTAAAATTATTATGTCTGTTCTCACCCCCCTAGAGTAAGGAGTACTAGACAAAGGAGGATATATAGTCCAACCAGTACCTCTCCCATAATCAATATTAAAAGAAAGAATTACTATATACAAAGCAAATGGTAAAATCCAGAAACTCAAAGTATTAACACGCGGAAATCTCATATCAATAGCCCCTAACAACAATGGTAACAACCAATTCCCAAAACCCCCAATTAACACAGGTATTACGAAAAAAAAAATCATCATAATAGCGTGTAGAGTAACCACACCATTATACACCTCTGATCTTGGCAACCACATACCAGGACGACCTAGCTCTAATCGCATAATCCATCTAAGCCTCAAGCCCCCAAAACCAGACCACAT